ATGTTCATTTAACAGCTAATTGCATGACTCGTGCCACTCCGAGGTGCTCGGTTTTTGCCACAAGGCGGAGCAGTCGAACAAAAGCGTTTGTTTTGGGTCTCCTTGTAGGAACAGAATAATTTCGTTCAATTTTGAGCTTTCAAACTCTACAGCTCTCCAAATCTTGTGATGGCATTCTCTAATTAAAAAATGAATTTAAAAGGAGGGGAATAATGCTAAGATGCATAGGCGAAGGACACAGCTCGCAAAAAATTGTGTATTATTCAAAAATGCATGTAGTGGGAGAAACGTGTTTCTGCGTTTTCATGCAAGCTTTTAAAAAGCTCTCAAATTCCAGATGAACCAAATTTAGGGCGGGAAATTATCCAGTGTTTGAGAGCAACTGAACACAAGACTTAAAAAATGAGAAATTGACAGGAACCAAAACTGGCTTGGTATTTGTCCCTCCACCGTGCCTTGAACGAACCGGTTTTACTGGCTGCGCCGGAGAGAGCAGCAGTGCGGCCGGATCGGACGCCCCCCGGGAGCCGGCATGCGCGCCAGCCGCCCGAGGCAGGTGGTGCAGCGGCCTCGTGGGGAGGCCAGCCAGACAGGCGACCGGTGCCCCGTAGCACAGCGGCAAATCCCACAACTCACTCTGCACCGTGCAAGGAAGCCCTTCCTTTGATGCGGGGGGGGGGGGGCTGCACAATGCGCTGCTATGGCTCCCTCCCCACGCACAAGGAATTCTGGGAACCGCGCTTTGGTGGAGAAGCGCGTTCTCAGTGACAGATCAGAGCCGCCACAGGCTGCCCGTTCCCTTTCCGTTCGATGGGGGCGAACGTCTCCGCGGCTCCCAGAGCCAGTGGCTCTTCGCCAGCCCCTTTTAGAGGCTGGGCAGCCATGTGCTCCACCTGTGGGGGACACGGGTGGGAACCGGTGGCCGCCCTCCGCCCCGCTTGTGCCCGTGGGACCAGAACACAGGCCTGGATGGCCCCTGGGCTTTTCTGAGGTTCCTACACAGACCTGCGCCCCGAGAGTGGGGTATGGTGCACAGCAGGGGGAAATTCTCCCCATTTAGATCTGGGTCGCTTTTGCACATCTGACACCCCAAGTCCCTTTCTGCCCAATTCTGCATTCATCCTTGATAGGAAGGTGGATAAAAACTGCACGAGATTTAGCATTCAAATGCATCTTTAAATGTGCCCTTTTCAACCTTTTCGCCTGGAATGCGCACCTGTAAGCGCATGCCTGGGTCTTTGGAGCCACGACGTGGCATCGCAGCGTTTGGAGAAGTGCGAAATTCACCAAGGCCAAAAGCCTGTTTGTGTCAGGAAGCGAGGAGGAGGCGGTGTGTGTGACACGTGGACTGTTTGTGGCGAGAGGCGCTTTGCCACCTGCCCCTCGAGGCCCAGAGGGAATGCAAGGCCCTCGTCCTTCATTCGGGGCTCGCCGCCCCCCAAGCAAGCCTGGCCTTTGGGGGCAGAGAAGCGGCCTGGCGCTGCGAACCCCCTCGTGCGAGACCTCCCAGTGACCCACAGAGCCCCTCGGGTGCCGTCGGCGTTTCTGGCCCATCCGGCTGCTGCTCCGCTTTCTCTGCTCAGCCTGAAGCCCCCGTCCCAAGACCGGAGGGGCTCTTTGGCCTGCCCGGCGCGGGGCGGCATCTGGCTTGCTTCGCCGCTCCGCTCCGCACCGCAGGGCACGGCCTGCCTTGGGGGAGATGGGATGCTCTGCCAGTGCGAAGGGGGACGCTCGTCCCCGCAAGCGCCTCGAGGCCTTGTCCGCCCTGCCCCCGGCCCCCCTGCTTCTCCCCCCAGGCTGTGCCTGCCCCGTGGTTTTGTGGGGCACATGCAAAGGGGGCCCGGCTTCCTCAGCGCTGGAAGACCGGGCGGGGGTCTTTGCGGCCCACTGGGGGTGAGTGAGCAGAGCACTGGCCGGCCCTTCTCGGGCAGGGGGCCTGGAAAGGGCCAGAGCGAGGTGCCGGTCACGGCCGCCCACCCGCCCAGCGTGATGCCTGCGCCTCTCCAGATTCGCGCCACCATCCAGAGGGGGCCGGGGGCAGCCCTCTCGGCCCTGCAGCCATCCACGTGCCTCTCCCATCTTCCGCTACCAGCAGAGGCACATGGACACCGTAGACCAGTAACACTGGTGCTTTGCCAGTCGCCATCCTGCTCCAGCCCGGGCCTCCCCCCCGCCCCTTCTTCAAACTGGAGGTATGGGCGCAACACAACTGCCTCCAGCGTGTAAGGCGAGGGCTCTACCAGTCCGCTACAGTCCCTCCTCGCTCGCAAGAAGACCACCTTGATGGCGCGGAGCTTCTCCAAGACCTTCGGCTGTCTCTCCTCCCGAGCTTTTGCTGGGTGTCTTTCCTGAGGATTTTTCTTGTTCGAGTCCACGGCCGTTTCCCAGTCTGGGTCCACGGATTGTCTGTCTGCAACTCGGCAGCTGGTGCCCGCTTGGCCCCCCCGGGCGCCCTCTCGACCCATCCCGGGCATCAGGGCCACACCGGACCCTCAGCTTGGGCCTGAACGAGGGCAGGGCACCGGCTGCCTCGCCAGAAAGTCCTGGGGGATCGCTCCCACCAAACAGCCTCTCCAAGGCCGCCTGCAGCATGCTGTTTTATTTAAATCGCACAAGCATTAGTAAAAGTGAGGTAACAAGTGCCTCTGGGCATGTGCAGAACTCTTTCCTCTCGCCACTGAGCAGCTAGACTCCCACACCCTTTGCGGGGCACCCTTCGTGGGGACTCTGCCGCCCGTCACAAGGCCAGGCCAGCCGGGCCCTGGGCATGCGGCTCCCTCCCCATTTTTCCTCCCTCCGGCCAGTCGCCTGGGCAGCGGCGGCTTGTGTCGCTTCTGGCCCTGCTCCCCAGCACCCTCCCTCTGGCGGACAAGTTTTCCCGCCCCCTCCGCCCCATAACTCAATTTTGGCACACCTGTACGCCAAGCAATTGCCAAGGGAAGCGTCACAACAGACACGGGCAGGACCAGGGGGTAATCAGGCCGGTCGGAGGGGAGTGGGGAGCGCGTCAAATGTTCTCACTGGGCTGGCCTCCTCTGCCAACGTCGCGTCACGGGGTCAAGAGCCGGGGCTGCCCCGTCTGAGCCCGAGAAACTCCCCTGCTCAGGGCCCTCCCGGCGAGGGAGCACGTGGCCTGCCGCGGGTTGGGACCCGTGGGCTGCTTGCCACGCTGGCCCTCTCGGCCGGCTCGGCACCCCAAGCCGGCAGCAACCCCCTGGCAGCGGCCCAGCCCGGGAGGGGGCGCCGGTGCTCTCCGTGCCCGGCCTCAGTGCAGCCAGGGGGGGACGGAAGACGGGAACGTCAGAGCAGGCAGCCAAGACGACAGAGCCCGCTTTCTCCCCCCACGGGCCTCGGAGGACCACCCAGCAGGGCTGTGGCAGGGCGGTGGGGGTCTGAACTGGAAGCCCCCCACGGGAGCACGCCTGCCCCCAGGCCTTGGGTGGAGGAGAGGCTTGAAATCCATCCGAAAGCCAGCCGAGCACTTCTCTGGCCCACCACCCTTCCCACCCGAGGCTCCCTCGAGCTGCCCTGGGTGGGGCAACCAAGAGAAAGGCCGGGATGACGGAGCCTCTGAAGGAGGAAAAAGGGGTGCCCTTCTTGGAAGGGGGGGCAGAGCCCCCCCAGGGCCAGTGGTCCCTTTTGGGGGGCACTTCAGAGGGAGGGGGAGCTGAATCAGCCGCGTGAGACGAGCCAGCTGGGGCGTCCCCCTTGCTTTTGGGAACGGCGAACTCCACTTCAGGCCCCCTCGTCTGCTGGCCGTGCCGTGAAACATTCTGCCTCGAGCCCGCCGGCATGTGGGGGCACGTGCGAGAGCGAGAAGACAGGGAGGCTGCGGTCACACGGACCTCACTGGCTGGCTCGGTCGTCAGAACAGCCCCCGTGTGCACGAGTCCATGGGCCCAGAGGCCTTACGGCCGCGGCCACAGCCGCCAAAAAGATGTGCGCGCCCAGACGAGGCATCGTCTTGTCTGGGTCTCTTTTGCTTTGATTGCAGAAGGGGAGCATGTCCTTTTTAAGTGCTTCCCCTCCCCCCCGGGGTTTCATTCTCTGCATTCCTGTAATTTTTTTTACACAACCACAAAGTGGTGCTGCGGTACAGCGCACCTACGGAAAACACGCCGCTCGTTTGCAGCTCTGCAGGGGATCGGATGGCACTTGCCCTGTTCTAGAAAAAGCAGTGAAGATGCTGGAAAACACGGGAGGGGCACCCGGGGCCGACGCTGTGAGAAGGACGAGGGGACTTCATGAGCGGGAGACCCCCCGCCGGGGCCCAGTGCAGAAGGCCGGAGGCCCAGCCCTGCGGCCCTGTTTTCTGGCCCCTCCGGTTCTTTGTGGGATTTGCTGAGAACTGAGGCATAAAAACAGAACAATTCTCCCGGCTCGGCTCTTGGGGGGTCTCCAGTGGGGTGGGGCACAGAGCCAGGTGCTGTTTGCTTTCGTCCAAAGAATGCTGGGAAAAAGACACACGGCCCCACAATTCGCTTTATGACAAGGCAGAAAGACTGCTGGGGGGAAGCCCCAGGGCAGGCGGCATCCTGATTTCAGGCCTATTAAGGGAGGGGGCAATGGGGGGTGTTGCAGGGCCTGTAGAGACGGGCCTCTTTCACCGTGCTCCCCCCACCCCATCGGCCACAGGGCCCGCATCACGAGGTGGCAGCTTTCCCAACGGAACGTCTGGGGCGCGGCGACTTGCGCACAAGCGCAAGAGGGTCTGCGCAGGCTCGAGACCCATAGAAAGGGGCAGGAGGAGATGGTCCACCACGGGGGGCCCCAAAGGGCCTCTCTGTTCACTTGCGGGAAGGGAATCCATGTAACGCGGCTCAGTTGTTTAAACAGCTCTCGCCAGCTGGGATGCCCGTCCCAGCCGATTCCCTCTCTGCGCACCCGAACAGAGGCCGGGACGGCGCCTGAGGGACGCTCCGGAGAAGCCCCCGCCGGATGCTGAGAATTGCCCCGTGGCTCTGCCCCCCCACGCCCCCGCCTTCCCCTCGCCCGCCCCGTCATATCATGGACACCCGGTTCTTGATGTAAACGTGGTACGGGTCGCTCTGCTTGTCCAGCCCCTTCCGGGAGCGGGTGTAGCCAAGGATCAGGCTGCCAACGGTGGCGGCGAAAAGGACCATCACGAAGAGGATGTACAGGTACGCGTAGGCGTCTCTCTCCCCGTCCCGCACGCGACGCTTCGCCTCCGGGGGGCACAGCTCTGCCCAGTAGGTCTGGTTCAGGGCCCTCAGCACGGAGTCGAGCTTCTCCACCCAGCTCTGCGTCAGGTTCCCCATCTCCGCGGCTGCTGCCTGGTCCCAGGAGACTCCGCGGCCCCTGGCGGGAACGACGACGGAGGCGATTCAGAACAGGCAGCCCCCGAGAGGCCTGCGGGACGGCGGAGCTGCAGAGCAGGCGTTCCCGCTCCACCCCTGCTCCCACGGGGCTTTGGGCATCGCCCCTCGGAGGAAGCCAAGCTGTCCTCCGAGGTGGGGGGGAAGGAGCACAATCCCCGAGGGTTCAGCTGGCTTGGGCTGCAGGTGCAGCTCCCCCTCTCCAAGAGGAGCCAGAAATCTCATTGCTCTGGAGAGGACAGAAGGGTCGAGGCAGAAACGAGCGGGATGCACCGAGCGGAGGAAGCACCAGGCTCGACCCACGGACAGAGGACAGCACGAAAGGACGTGGCCAGTCACGGAGCCCCTGCCCACGCCTCCAGGCTGCCTCTGCCCTTGGCACACGGAACGTCTTCCACCGGGAAAGCGACGCAGGGCAACGGGCAGGGTGCCCCCGCGGCCCCGCCGAGCCACGCTGCGACGGCCTGCCTGAAAATCGCTGCCCCGGCTGACTCGAAGCCAGCAGCGGCCGGCTGTGCGGCCCAGGGGAGCCCGGCGGGAGGGGGGCCCGGGCAGGGAGGCGGGAGGGCCCTGTGCGGCAGAGGGGGGCTGTGGCCCCAGTCGCCCCACACCCGGGAGGGAAAGGGCCGGGCATGGGCGGGCTGCTCCGGAGAGCCCCCCGTTCCCGAGGCCTGGCGGGCGAGGCCTCTCCTCGCTCACGGCCGCGGCCACGCAGGCACGTGCCGGACCCCAGCACCCCCGGCGAGCGGCCCGCACAGCCGCTGCAGAAAGCGGCGGCCTGGTCAGCCGGACTGAGCTCTCACGAGACCTGCCAGCATCCCAGCACTCAGACATGGGGCGCGTCCGCATTTGCTCCTTGATGGGGAAGAGCAGCAGCGAAAATCCCTCCACAGTGCGATGGCCCAGGTCACCCCGACTGGCCGCTCCGCAGGTGCCGCCTGGGCTCACCGTAAGGCTGCAATCCAGCGCCCATTTGCATGGGAGACCCCGCAGGATGAAACACACAACGGGGTCTGATTTATAGGGTTTCTAGCCTGCCTCCTTCCTCTTGCCAGGAGCCCAAGGCAGCCCACCTGGGGCCCTCCTCCCCTCCATGGGACCCTCACAACAGCCCTGTGGAGTAGGGCAGGCTAGGGGGGACGGGTGGCACGAATCGCCCGGGGAGATTCTGGCCACCCCGACACACCAGCTTGGCTCCCACCACAGCCCAACTACCTTCAGCCACCCCAAACCTTCCAGCTCCCTGAAATACTGGCTTAGCTGGTTTGCTCTGAGTTTTGTGGGGGGTTTTTTTAAAGAATCAGCTTGTAAAGTTATACTCTGCACAATGAGAGCTGGAACCTTCCTCTTTTATACATGTCTTGGGAGCTGAAACATGGTTTGCAGAACGGCAGAAACGGCAAACATCCCGCTTCACGGAGGGAGGCTGGGAATTTCCAGCCGAGCTGTTTCCATTGTGGCTTTGCTTGCTCAAGGATTTTCGAGGGCTTTGCAAACATGAATGAATTCTGCTTTGTTGCCCTTCTGATAAGTGGGCAAATATTATTTATCTCAGCTAGTGAGAGTGAGAAACTCAGCCAGGAAAAGACTTGTTTGCTTTGAGATGGCGCTCCGGCTTGCTTAGGCACGTTCTTTCTCTGCCCGAGGAAAACCATTTGGTGGCAAGCCCGGAGCAGCCTAACGCAGGGGTGCCCCGTGGATCCTCTGGAGCCAGTGCCCTCCGGCGGGATGCCTCTGGACAACGACTCCCATCCCGCAGCTCCAGGGTGCCGGGCACCGGGGTCCCACACATCCAGAAGGCACCGGCCGGGGGAAGCCTGGGCGAGGAAGCGCCAGCACGAGGCCTGGCCTGCCCCGGGGAGGCCGTCGCCTGACATTCCTGCGGCCGTGCCAGGCTCCTTCACCCCCGGCCACGCCAGCCTCCGCATTCCAGGCGGCATCTGTGCGTTTCCTGGTTGCACCGGGGCACCGAGGAGGAACCCCACCTTTGCGCTCGCTGAACGCCGCTATTGTCTGGGCTGGGAGGGCGGGTGGGAAACGCCAAGAAGCCAGCAGGCAGCCCCCCCCCCCGCACCACAGGGCCGCTCCAGCCCTCGCCCAGCCAGGCCTGCCGCAGCCCCTTCTCCAGACCGAGCGCTGCAGGCAGGCGGGCTCCCCCTGAAGGGAGATGTTCAGAAGCAGGCAGAGCCACGCAGCACCCGGGGGGGGGGGGCAGGTGGGTGCGTGCGCCCCCCTGCTCCCTGCACAGCCATGCCGGGGGGCCAGAAGGTGGGGCACCACAAAGCTGTGCTGGATGCCTGTGGGGCCAGGAATGATCTCTTTCAGCGTCCTCCGCTCACAGCTCAGAACTAAGAGCAGGCAGGCAGGCCCCTGCCCCAAGGTGCTCGCACAGCAGAGACCGACCCAGAGGAAGAAAGTGCTTCGTCTTGAGCCCGCAATCTTGGGCCCACTGCCTGCCTGTGCATCTAACGAGCGTGTCCCCCCCCGGGGGGGGGGCTGCCGGTTGTGTTCTGCCTCAGCCCCCATCATTTTCAGCAGTGATCGGGCCAGCTGGGCAGGGCAGGGGGGTGTAGATTCTGGCAGCCCCCGTTGGGGAGGCTGTAATACGGGACGTGGGGTCTGATCGCCAAGCTGGCTGGGGGAGGACGGGAGCTGCAGTCCCTCCTCGGAAGGATGGCAGGTTGTGAGCGGTAGGACCAGGCAGCCCAATCAGCTGTTGAATGAGGCTTCGGTGGGTTTCTTCAGTGGGATCCACACTGACCCGCCCCCTCTAGGGTGCGGGGGCGACGGTTGTGCCGGAAAGGCATCCAGGCCCCTCGCTGCACCAGCGGCCCCAGCCCACACTTGCATTGCCCAGCGGCACACAGGATCCAAGAGGTCCCCTGGCCCAGTCCAAGAGGTCCTGGGCAGCAGGTCCTGGACAGCGGCTCCAGCAAGCCCCCCTTGCTGCATTTCAGAGCGCAGTCACGGAATGACCTCCTCCGGCCCAGCTTGAGAAGGGCACCCGAACTTCCTCCGAGACACCCCGGAGGGCCCCCCCCCCGGCTCGCCCAGGCAGCATCTCCGGAGAGGTCCGCAAGCCTCCAGCGAGGCCCATTCACACTTCCGGCACCTGGAACAGCTCCACGCTCTCTTATCACGGCTGTTTGCTCAGGGGACCTCGCTGCCTATTTCAGCATCGCTCGCAAGGTGTGCTTTCCCTGATTTATGCAAACAAAACTCTCCAGATTCAGGGCACGCACAGGGCCAGCGATCTTCTCAGCAGCCCGGGGCAGAAGCGCCTATCGGCCGCAGCGCCTGGCATCCCCAGCAGTATCCACGTCCCGCGGGGCAGCGGAGGCTCCCGGATGGAGGCGAGAGAAGCGGGGGCTGCTCCTGCGCAAGGCCTGGCGGCTCGTCCGTTCGGCCAGCTCTGGTCCCCGCAGGGTCCCGGGCAGAAAAGGCCTGCCTGCAGCTGCTGCCGGGGGAAGCACACCCCAGCTGTGGTCCCCCCGTCCCCCCCCCGCGGAGAGCAGGCGGACCTGGGATACAAACCGGCGCACGGAGGGACGGCATGCGGGGCTGCGATGTCGTCCAGGCCGGGGAGGACGCCCCCGAGAACCTGGGAGAGCCCTGCTGGGTCACCCACGGGCCTGTTTCAGGCCAGCAGGGCGGGCGCACGACTGCACTCTCCGCACCCATGCTCCCCAGCACAGTGCCCACAGCCATCGGGATGAGTGGCCGGCAGGGGCCTTCTCCTCCAGGAAGTGTCCAAACCCCTCTGAAAGCCATCCAAATCGACGGCCCTTGGCACTTCCAGCGGCAGTGAGTTCCACAGTGTCACTCTGCACTGCGTGAAGGACTTCCTTGGGTCTGTCCGCACTGTCCCACCAAGCATCTTCTTGGGGTGACCCCGCTGGGGGTTTGGTTTGCACGATTCTACCTTGTCTCTCTTCTTTCTTACTGTACACAGTAAGAGCAAAACTGCTGCTCTTCCTTCATCTGCTAAGCCTTCCCCAACCTGGTGCCCTCCAGATGGGCTAGCCTGCAGATTCCATCATCCCCAGAACCAGGCTGAGGAAGCTCTTCCACAGCCCTTAAAGCTTACAGCCCAAGTTACGTTTCTTCAGAAGTCTGTGGAGCTGAATTCAGTGGGACATCCTGCAAAATGATTCCGTTCCAGGCCTGGGAAACAACCCTTCCTCCCCGCTTGGCCTTTGAGATGCTGAATGGACCACTTTGCTTGTGTGGTGCGTCAGGGAGCACAGCCATCAAAAGGTAAATACAGCAATCAGGTGTTCAAACACTCCTGTCTGGGTACAGAGATTGGCCGCATCTCGTGCCGGGAACGGAAGCGAGCACAGAAGCCAGCTGCGAAGTCTCTTGCTGTGGCAAAGTTGCCAAGGAGGGAGCATGAAATGGCATTTGCAGACTTTTTAAGGAGTGCTCTTTCGCAAATCCAGACCAAGAAAGTCCTCCATCTTCCAGCATGCCCCAACAGTTGGGGCATGCTGGGAATTGTGGGCAGGTTTTTGTCTAAACTTGGAAAGGATTGTGCCTTCGTGCAGTCAACCCGCACTCGGCGCCTCCAGTATTTCTCAGGGCCATCCTGCTCATCTGGACACCAAATGCAGCGCTCTCCTTCCATCAAACTGGAGTCCCCGAAACTCTTTGGAAAAAGCCAAATTAAACCGGCCTTCAAAAATGGCAACCGCCGAATTATGGAGCACAGAGGCCCTAGGAAACGCTGGCTCTGGCTTAGAGCTCTAAGTGCAACGGGGAGCAAAACTCTCCCAAGCGAGGCCTTCGCTCCCACTGCAGGCTGTTCCTCAAAACATATCTATGCACTCGGTTGCGCTTTTCCTTAGCTGGACCTCGCCAGACGGCTGGGAGTTGTGAACCTTTCCAAGTGCCGCCACCCCGAGCACCCAAGATCTTCCTCTTGTGGGTGACCAAAGCACAGC